CCAAACTCGGTCCTGGAGGGCCGGTGTCCTGCAGAGTTTAGCTCCAGCTTGCCTCAACACACCTGCTTGGAAGTTTCTAGTATGCCTAGTAAGACCTTGATTAGCTGCTTCAGGTGTGTTTGATTAGGGTTGGCGCTAAACTCTGCAGGACACCGGCCCTTCAGGACCGAGTGTGGGCACCCCTGGTTTAGATGGTATTTTCTTTTCATTTTGCCTCTCTGCCTCTCTGCATAATACCAAAGACTATAGAATACCCTATAGTTGCCGTTCCATAAACGCCACCTACTGTCAGAGTGAATTTGCGCTCTCATTCAGACCGTCTGCTGATTTAGTTTCGTGCAGATGTTTTATGTAGCATAGTTTCACAAAACTCATGTCAGACCATTCTGTTTTTTGCTTCAAATTTAGAAATTATACAATATAGTTTAGATTAAAAACTGCTCATGCTGCATGTGTGCAGCATCTTTGTTTGGATCGTGATTAAAATGCAGTGGTTGCTTCTAATTTTAAATGGAAAGAGCACAGGCGAAGCCTTAGTTTCTTTATATGAAGAGATTTCTTTTATTTGTATTATTGATTTATTATTATTTGGGATTTGTTTTAAAATTTAAATGTAGTTTTGTTATTTGACATATTTCAATTTCACAAAGAAATGTGCAGCATTTTGTCTGAGAAATAATAAAAGGATGCCTTTTCATTTATAATTTGTCTAAAATCTCATTATTTTTAAAAATAAACTTTTTAATAACAAAAAAATACATTTAATTCTTAAATATATAGTGTTAATAATAATTGTATAATATATAAAATAAATGCATTTTGTGTGTTTATGTATATTTATATATATACACATACTGAAATTTAAGTTATTCACTTAAGATTGTCAGTTTTGCAGCTTCAAACGCGGCTGACGACTGAATGCTTTGATTTGAGCACACAAGTGAACGGGATTTTCGCATGAGTTGTTCTGGCTGATGGATGTTAAACTGATGGAATGTGAGCAGGACGTGGGCTGTGGTCACATGACCTCCACATACCTGCACAGGTGGGACACATTTCCTGTGAAATTCCCTCCACGCTACGCCCTACATCCTTCACTCATTAAATATAGAAAACAACCGGAGTGTTAATTTTACATAAAGGAGGAGTGACGTGTAACATGGTGTCCAGACGCTGAAGATTGACTCTGTATCCTGAGCGGGTGTGTTTTTAAGCGTGTGGAGTGTAGTAAATCAATTTTTAGTGTTTAGCATTTTAGCGAGTGCTAATGTCTGATGAGCGAGCGAGCCGCTTGTTTCCTGCAGGAAGATAAACTGTAAACTAGAGCAGCTTTACTGGAGCTCATATGAATTATTCACGTTTTATCCTCATGAGTGGCCATAATGAACTGAGCTGCCTTTTTAGTTGCTATTCAAAATGAAGGTTGAGCCACAACAGGCTAGTTTTTTTATGCTAAACATAAACTTTGAATGCTTGTAGTTTTGGTATATCAGGGCCATTTTCATGACTTTTATGGCCTTTTTTTTTTTTTTTAAAGATGGTGTTGCATTTAGTCCAGCAGTTTTTGAATGCAAGAACACGTCTTAAGTAAAAACCTCCCAAGAAATGCACCCGATGAACTTTGTGAGCCTAATTATACAGGTTAATCATACAGTTAAAACCAACTAGTTTTGCATATCCCTGTCACTCAGTATGTAGCACGAGTGCTTGACCTCTGAACCACAGACTTGTCGACTGTAAGTCAGAATGAAAGAGACTGAAACAGACTTATGTTATTGATCACAGAAGGGGAAATCAGATGCAAAAAAAGCAGCAGGATCAAGTGCACAACACCAAAAACATCCCTTTGTTTAAATCTGTGAAAATGGTCAAAAACAAACAGCCGCTTTGGGACGTTCTGGCCTTTTTTCTGGAGATGTTCATGTAAATGTGTGCATGAATTATGAACGTGTGCAGGGCGGCTGTGGGACTCGAGTCAGAGTCCGGTCTTTGCTCATTGTTTTAAATCATCT